GCTTTGTTTGGAAATGACCCACATACGAATATAGGTATTTTCACGCTCATGGACAAAAAAAAATATGTGTGCGACATTTGGACAGTCTGGCTTATATGTAACAAACGCTAAATAAACGTTTCAAACATAGTACAAAAATTTGAAAAATTAACATAGTACAAAAATTTGAAAAATTAATAAAATCCATAGATTTTCACAAAAATTTCTAACTTCTCAATCAGATTTAAAAAAAAATTAACAAAATTTGTTGGTATGCGTCTAAGAATTCGCATTAATTTGAAATATTTATTTTTATTATTTGTTCTTCTGTATAAAGTATATATGTATCAAACAATTTTTTATATGAAAGAAAATGCCTAGCACCGCCCACAAAAAAGATTAACGCGCATTCTTAGCCGCTTTACTGGCTAACGAGAATGTAGTACCACAGCCACAAGCTATTTCGCTACATCAGCAATAACACACGACAACCACAGCTACATATTGTTGGCAGTTTAGAGAATTTAGAATATTTTAACTTTTGACAGCTCTTGCTACATACCACAGCCAAACCATTCTGGTTAGCCAGTTAAACATAATTTTTTTTATTATACTATTTATTATTATTTAAAAAAAAAATCTGATTAAGAAGTTTGAAATATGGATTTATATTGTGTTTGCTATATAATAAGCTATACTTTTACAAAATAATAATAAACATCAAATAAGCAAAAGAAAAAAGACCAAACTGATCAATAATTGGCACACCATTTTTAAATGAGTGAAGCGACATTTTAACAAGTTTTGGCTATCTTTCTTTTGTATATAGCTGATTATCTAACAAAAACCATGTAAGTCCAAATTTCAAACTTTGTAAAATAAAATTAGGAAAATTTAACAAAATTTCATCAAAATTTCAAACTCTTTAATCAGAAATTTTAGAAAGTATTTTGGTATGAAGTTTTAAAAATAAAAAATTTATAAATCCAGCAACACTCCCCAAAAAGTCTTTGGGGAATTTGTATGCTGCTACAACAACAACAACAACAAAAAGTTTAAGAAAATGTACAATGTTTTAAATTTGGACGTAGACGGCTTTTGTTAGATAGTGATCTATACTCAAAATCAAATAAGAAAACATAACATAAACAAAAGAAAAGTAGCCAAAACTGGTCCACCTGCCGCGACCCTATTATTTTTTCCGATACTGTATGTACATCTGTATTAAAATTTGAGTGGATATGTACAATAGACTGATTAAAAAAAATCGACTAACTTTTTTTTTAATAGCCCCCTCATCAATACCTGTAGGGTCAAAAGATGCATTTTAAAAGCGCAACCATGACTATTTAAGTTTCTTTATTGTTGTTGTAGATGATTACTTATGTATAATCTAAAGCTTTTAACTTAATAAATATTCAAAAGTAAGTATTTTTGATTCGAATTGTGCTTTTTATTATTATTAGTTTATTCAGTTGCTCAATAGTTAGTTACAAAAAAGGCAATTTTGAAAATATAAGCATGTAAAACTTACAACTGTAAGGCTCAACAATTTAAAAATAATTTTAATAACTTTTCTAATAGGGAATCATAGTTTGCAGGTCTTTTGTAAAAAAATTTGCAATATTTAATGATAAGTTTAATTATTTTACCTAAAATAGGAGAAAAAACTGTAATAATGAAATACATTTAACTTTAAGTTTGAATAACCGTTAAACCATTTTAAACCGTTAACCAATTTTTTTCTAAGTAATTTACATGGAAAAGGGACATCCGCGTTGCGCGACCTTTTAAACTTAATATTAAGGGTTGCCCCTTTAAAATGCATATTTTGACATCCACTCGGAGGTATTGAAGAGTTAGCCGATTTTTTTGAATCAGTCTAACGACTCAAACAAATGACCAAGGGTTGATTTTTGTTTTTAAATATGCGTAATGTTTTTCGAACTAAACTAAAACTACCTACCAAGCTTTAACCAAAAACATAAAAATCACAGTTTCCGTTTCTAAATTTCCATTGATTTTTTTTGATTTTTTTTGTCGCATTTGCTTCCTATAACGAATAAACACAACAGGCTGTTCAGGATCTTTAGCAAATAGTCTTGGATTTGCATTTGCATTTGCAAATTTTGTGCCTGCTGCCATGGCAACCGTATGCATTTTATTAAAAAAAAAACAATCTAAAAACTCAAAGTTAAATTTTGGCTACCTGACACTTGCACATCATACTAAATCTTAATAGGCTATAAAGATATGTATACAAAAAAAAATCTAACACTTCTGAGAAAAAAGTTTGAAATTGAGAAGAAAATTTGTTGCATTTGTTTTTAATTTTCTACAAAGTTTTAAAGATCGGTTTTTTAAGAATAAACTGTATTTTTATTGAAATTGTTTAAAAATTTGTTTTAGTTATTTATGGCCTTATAACAATTATATTCAACAATTTTATTGAGCCTGAGGACGTTTTTAATGAAAATTTGCGGAAAAAACAACAATTTACATTTTGGTAGAAGTTATAGCTGCTATTTCGGAGATCCCCATTTCTCCTAATCAGATTTCTTCAACTGGGATTCGATCAAACGACCCCAGCCGCCTAAGCCAGTTGTCTTAGAGCCAATTTGGCGAAAGCAATTTAAGTAAAAAATGATTTTGATTTTTTAAATTTTATTATGAAATTGACAAATAAGAAATCATTTTCCATTTAAATTGCTGATGAAACCGGCGCTTACTCAAGTAAACTGTTGTTGCTTTTTTCACCTTTTTCGATGTGTTAAGTCAACCACTTAAAAATAAATTTAAAAAAAAAACATAAGTGGCAAATAATATCACTTTGAAATGGGGGTGCTATTGATATGACGGATACTGTATATCTAAATATCTTCTTTTTTTTGTAAATATACTATAAGTATGTATGTACATTAGGGATGTCCATCCCGGGATCCCAGTATATTATGTTATAACTTTTTAGCAAATATGGATATGTTTGAACGTTTTTGTTTTTGTTTTCTTTTTAATATAAAAAGCAATGCATACATAATGTGCCTGCCTCTTTTCTACAAGTTAACCTTGAAATACTTGATTTTTTAATGAATATATATCTTCTAAAGCCGACTAATTCCGCTTAAATTGTACGGGATTAAAAAAGCACTGTGGGAATAATATAAAAGCCTTGTTTTTGACCAGTTTTGGCTGTATTTCTTTTGTGTATTTAATATTATATATTTTTTAACAAAAGTCTAGCTCTTTATTCATATGTATGTACATATCGAGCCCTAACCGCCAAAATAACGTAAGCGACATTTTTTTCAAAATTTTCTTTTTGATGCAGAAATATTCCTAGAGCATCTAGATACATTTCTGCATCAAAAAGAAAATTTTGAAAAAATGTCGCTTACGTTATTTTGGCGGTTAGGGCTCGATATAATTAACTGCATGTGTCACGCATTTTCTTCCTTACAAAGTATATTCCAATTTTTTTATCCAGTCCTGTCAAAAAATTGCCAAAATTGTTTGAAACTTGTACTTTATCCCAGTTTTCTTTTTTTACTAATGAAATGATTTTCATTTTATATAAAAGGATAGGATTCAAACACATGTATTTATTAATATATGGTAGGAGGGCTTCTCAAACAATATTGATGCAATTTATTCGAGTTTATTTGTAGAAATTTAATGTACATATATGAAAATCCCGTAATCGTAATAACGAGATCCCGAAAATTTACATCCCTATTGTTCATACATATGTCAATATGTAGATACCCACATTCATAAATGCGTGATTACTTTCTAAAATCGCACTTTGGGCTATTAGACTTCTAATTTCCAGTTACCATTTTGCTAAACCACTACTGCTCTCTAACGATTATAAAAACAGAGATTCCTTTATGTATTTTAAGGTGTAATTCTTTTCTTATTGGAGAACTTTGAAAACTAAGATAAAAGTAAAACAAATAAATTTACGCAAGAATACACTTGGCGGTTTTGGTTGAGGAAGAGACGAGGTGTTCTGCTCGAAGAAGGGTCAACTGGCAATTGACTGGCGGCGTTTGTTAGACATGTACGTAAATATTTTTATGGATATACATTTGTAGATAAATACATACTCTACATACCTATGTACGTGTATACATTCACACAAGCATACGACTGTCGAGAATGCCATAAATGGAACTTGAACCTGACCGCCAATATTGAGTCAAGTTTTCATATTCTCATTTTTCATCTTATTTTTACAAGCTTTTTCTATTACACCTAGATTGTTTAAGTTCACAACTACAATTATGGTTACAAACCGGTCGGAACGCACAGGAATGTTAACATACATATATACGCAGACGTGAATATACGCATATTTGGAAACAAACATACATGATTACTGTGTGTCACCTTTCGTCACACCCGTCTACCTCCTCCATCGAGGTTGTCGTGGGCATACATGGCATTTACATACATACATAATTATGTACCCGTGCGGGTACACAACACTTTATAAATTGGGAAAGCTAAACACTTGAAAGTGTGCATAAGGTTGCTACATATCTTAAAATATTCGAGTGATTGGAAATGACAGCATCAAGTAAAACCATTTCCGTAAAATGTTATTACACAAGCGATTGAAATTGTCCACAATGAGTGCTTGCTATCAAAGATGAGCTCTGGAAACCGATAATAATGCGGGTCAATGCACGATCTCAAATCTTACATATCGCCTTTTGGTAATGTACACTTTGGGCTTTATTTGCTTGTAGATCATTCACATTCCCTGATGCATCAGTCACGCAGAC